TGGAATTTGCCTAGTGATGCAAGTTCAGCTTGTTTCTATTTCATTGTTTGCTCTGTAGTGGTTTGTATCATGGTTTACCCAGGTATCAACTTCCTTTTTTGCTTACTCAGCAGCAGTAGCAGAATGAAGAATATGTGGAGTGGAAACTAGTTGGAATTGTTTTGCTATTATTGTTGATTGGCCTATATATTGTATATCATGCCACTTGGAAGAATCATTAAGGAGTCTTTGTGATTTAATTTCTACTGTTGTCCAAAGTAACAGTAGAAACTATCCTAATGCTAGGTTTTTCATTTGGATAAATGTTTTGTGGCCTGAGTGTTCTTATCTGTTACCACCTGCCCTGAAGACATCTCAAATGACACGTGCGCAATCCTATTAACTATTGATCAGATCTTTAACTTCCAGTGAAACTGCGGTTTTGGCAGGTGTGTGATGTGCTTAGATATGAACACCTCTTTTTGTGTGAGCTTCTGGAAATTTTCTTATTTTCAGAACACACGCACGCAAAAAAAACCCAAAACTTATGTTGAGGAATTACTTGATAACAAAAGGAGCGTATAGAGTTGCATTATAAGTTTGACCATCAGATTTAGAGGGAAACAGATCTTTATCTGGAGTATGCAATTTGTACAGCTGCCTTTGTATAATTAAAATAAGGTTGTAGAGGTCCAAGACCTGAACTCTTTAAGTTACAGTTTATTTGGATGTTAAAAACAGTAAAACAGAATGAGTGAGTTAAACCTGTAGTTAAAAAGGGAGAAAGCTGTTTCAGTACTGGAACTGCACCAATTTGTGGAGATTAGGCAGGAACATAGTATCAAGTGAGTAAGCTTACAGAGTGCTAACAGCCGCAACAGAAAGCATGGACTACTGTAATGTTACTGTCAAACTGTATTGTAATGCAGTAACTTCTCTGATCTTGGTGTTTCAATTGACTCTGTTTTCCAGAGCATTATATTAGGGTGTGTTCTGCAGTGACTGACAGCTGTATATAATGTACATGAGATTTTTGATATACATAGAAGGTCCAGTAGAAATAAAATTCAGACTTCACTTGTCTGAGATTTAAAAAGCAACCGCTATTGTTTAATTCACTTTCATTACATAGCACTTGGAGCTCTTCAAAAAATGCTAATCCATACTAGCTGTTAGGTGGTCTTAGAGCCTCTTTTTTGTCTGAATACTAACATGCTAATAGGCTTTGTGAGCCTAAATATAAAATTGATAATATAGAACTTACATGATTTTTTATCTAATCTATGTAACTGTGCCTTAGAAATTCAGCGACTAGCACTGATTTTCCTGCTAGTTAGGAGAATTGTAACAGATGGCTATGTCTGTGACTCTGTGGCTTGTCACCAGCCAGGTGACAACCAATATAAGGGAGGTATTTGTTTTGCCTTAAGTCATTTGCCTTAAGGAAAAGGCTGTTTTTACTGCAGAACAGTTGTGATGTTTTTACTATTTACAATTTGACTTACTCTATTTGTCTTGTGTATGTGGAGTGATAGGAATGCATGTTTCTGAATGAATCTTAAATCATGTGGTCTTCAACTTTTCCTGTCAATTGCTCCCCTTTCGTTGTTGTCTCAACTGACAAAAATACGTGGATAAACTCAAAGATTAAAGAGGATAGTTAAATCATTTCATGCTATTCTCTATAGCAGAAATATGGTTTGAAATAGTTGCTGTTATTTTTGGGTCAAAGAATAGGAGAGCAGTGTAAGTGGTAGAGAGCAAGTATTCTGTCTGGAAATGTGTGACTTCTATCGTTTGGGTTGTGACGGCTAGGAACAAAAACAGATGGTATCTGGCAGAATAGCAGCAGGTGCAGTGGGGTAAAACCAGACTACTCTGATCAGGGCATGTAAAAGTTTTTTCCCTGTTTCTTCTCAGATTTGCTTAATGAGACCTGGCCACTGTGTTATTCCTCCTCTGTATTAAGAATCACTTCTGACAGACTCTTTTTTTTTTTTTCCACCTTAACATTAGGGAGGATCTCTTTCTTTTTAGCAGGTAAATAGATTTATTTCAGTCAGCACAATACCTTCATCATGTATTCAGTACAGTATTGGGCTGATTCAGTAGAGCAGTGTGGAAGGTGATGTGAGTGCTTGCTGGCTGATATGGTGGAGATTTCTTCACTTGTTAGTACATTTCTCAAGTGTTGTAAGCTATTGAGATCAGAGTGTTGCAAAGTAATAGAAAATCTGCCCTCAAGATGAGTGAAGGTCAAGCAAGAAGTGTTCTGGAAGCAGTTGAAAATGGTTCTCAGCCTGGTTTAGCACCTCACAGAACTGAGCAGCCAACTTACCCACTGACATCATTAAGAGCTAGCCTGGATTTCGGAGGAGGCTAGTATGTTTTCCTGAACAAAATGCTACCCCTTCCAGGAAGGTGAGGAGTAAGATGGACAGCTAACTTCCGTATAGAATGCAGTAGAAATGTTTTTCTGATTGTAAGCATACAGTGCACAGATAGAGTCCAACTTTTGAGGAGCAGTTGGATCTAAGAGTGAAGATATTCACGGGTCTGCCATCCTTGCTCCCACTGCTTTAGTGTCATATTGCCCACGTTGTAATGATGGTATTTCACAAGGGCTTTACAGGAAATAGAATGTCAAATAAAGAAACTGGCAGTGGTACCCACAGTTTATCCTTATTTTCCCTGTAGTATTGTTTTCCTTACTGTTGGGTAATATCTTGTAGGGAACTCATAACCTGTGATCTGCAGAATCTGTACTCTCCTGTGGGCTCAACGATAGGATGTTGCTTTTCTTTCTGCATAGTTATCTCTTAAAGTATAATGAAACAACTGAAAGTTTCTTAATATAGCAAAACCTTTTTTTTCAGTGGTAGTTCACTCTTGGTGGTATCTTTTGTGTGCTCTATCAGGTAATACTTGTGTGGAGTTAGTGCATGCCACTTAGACTGGGAGAACAGGAACTGATGTCTATGTTGCTCTGGAGCCTGTTGGATCTACATGTATTTAATATTGGGAGGGAGGAAGGACATTTCTGAGAAAATAAGTAGAATTTGAATTTGTTTAAGTTCATGAAGTGGTGTAAATAACACTAGTTGTTTGTGTTAACAGCAAAGACAAGCAGTGTGTGTTTAAAAAAAAAAAAAAGATCATAGCCCGTTTTGCTGTCAGCTGTCTAGTTATACTTTGTTTTCCAAGATGGAAATATGTCCTGGATGTCTAATGAAGTTGGGTGCTGTGCATACTGACCAGTGCTAGGAGCTTGGGTGTTAACGTGTCCTCAAATAGCTGCAATCTGCAAGCTCTGCCAAGACAGCCAAATGCTAGTTTCTCTTGCTTGCTGTATGTGGGGCACTAGACCACAGTTGTTGAGTTAGAAGTAATTTGACAGGTTGATTTAGACATAATATTTTATATATACAGAGTACTGGCTTCCATGTCTGTCCTTTTCATGGTGTTCCTGATTAGAGCATATATAACAGGCTCCTACTGCTGTTTCACTCATGTTGGTCTGTTCACTGACCCTCTTCATGCCTTCCACAAGCCCTTTTTTGTCCTTCCTTGTTCAGAGGTTCATTCTTCTTTTTTTTCCACAACCTCACATGCTTTAGCTGGCCACCCCATCCGTGTCTTACTTGACTGCTATCTTTGTAGGTTAGTTGTGGTCATGTCTCTCTACTCAGGATGTAAAATGCTGCTCTGCCATGACAAGAGTAAGCTTGACTCAGCATAACTTTCAAGGCATATACTTTGCAGTTTTTCTTTTGACACTACTCTTCCTTGGAGCTACTTCTAATTGCAGTCTTAAATAAAAGCAGATTGTGAATCACAACTCCTGAATTCCATTTCAGAGGACTCAAGTTGGGAGAGGGTTGGTTTTGACATGTGGGACCTACCTAAGCTTTCTGCATAGTGAACTTGCATACTGTGCATTTGGCAGTGTTGTGTAGGAGAAGGGAGTTAGGATGCCAGTACTATGAGGAAAGTACTCTTAAGTGTTACACCTGGTCTTTTAACTCCCTTGTGGGTAACACCTGCTTGACTGCAAATACCTTTGTTAGCTTTTCTTTGTCAGCATTACAAGGCAGAGAAATCAGCTAATGTAAAGTCTGTAACACATCAGCAGCAAAACTGCCAACTAAGCACCTATTCTGTTAGCTATCAGTGTAACCAGCAATGGCATATGAAGCAAACAAAAAAACCTACTAGTTCTGTACTGGGCAACAAGATTGATTTATTATTGCTATTTTTCTTCTAGTGGTATGAACTTCTTTTTATTAGTGTTTCAAAGGAGGGAAGCAAGTGTGCTTTAGTTTTAAACGACTTGCACTGAAGATGGATGCTCTGTAATCCAGTTTTGAAGATTCTTTTTGTGTTTTGCAAATCACTGAAGTCAGGCATGTGATAGATTTGTCCCCGTGAATTTGACTGACCTGGTGGATTGAAGTGATGTCTGATTTGCTGAGTTGGGGGGAGCAAGGGGAGAGCAGTATTCGTTTATGCGCACAGCATAGTTGCTTCATATAATCCGATATTCCTTTTAAATAGGAATGTAGGAGTGTTGCTCTTTTGACAAAAATAGATTGGACTTGCTTTGACCTTTTTAAAATGCCCTTAATAAAGTAGCATAGGCTTTGCTTTAGAACATCTGACTTCTAATTCTGATTGCAAAGTCAAATGAGGTAAATTGAACTTGGACTGACTCTACATGACTTAGCCACCTAGCAAATCCTCTTGGAGAACCATACTTGCTTTTTTGCTGGGGTATATAGGATGACTAAGTGCATGGATGATGACTTCAGACTTGCTCACCCATGCACTCTCTGCTCTTCCTAGCTGTTATCATCTCCTTTTTCTCAGAGCCAGTGATTGAAGACTCTGAAAGCATATCAGTTGAGCTACTTACTGTGGTGAAGCTGCCTGTGGTTTATGTGCTTTATATTGCGGTGGTGGCTTGTTATCAGTATATGTACAGCAATTTGAGATACAATTATTTTATGGATTTTTTTTCTTAGTTTTCAGTTGACCAAAGAAATGGTGATGGAGAAGCCAAGTCCCCTGCTGGTCGGGCGGGAATTTGTGAGGCAGTACTATACTCTACTGAATCAAGCACCTGATTATCTGCACAGGTAAAGCTCCCCTTCTCTTTTGGGTGTGTGTGGGGAGGTGGTTTTGCATGGGGAGTGTCACAAGCAGTAAATAAAATCATTCCCTCTTTTTAGCTAGCAGGACCTAAGGTTTGGGCATTTAAAAGACTGTTTAATCTAAGGTGCATTTGCTGTAACCTGCTCTATTTTGATCAAGTGAATTAAAGAATTGATAATAAAGATTTAAAGAACTAGAAAAATGATAGGCACTTAGAAAATACCATTTTTATCATTTAAAAAAATTACTTGCTGTAAGTGTGCTGTTAAACTTGCATTACAACTTCTTCAAAAGGAAAACACAATTTTGTAAGCCACAAGTGTCGCTTCTAGAGGTGGCTGATATAAATGAAAGGTGATAAGTGCTATGTTGAACAGTTTTGTGGTCTGTTCTGTTATAGTGCCCTCTGACTTCAGAGAAATGCTGAAAACTGAATTATTGTACATTGCTGTGTGCCAGTCTTATTGCTAGCTGTTCCTTAAAGCAAAAATGTCTGCAAATGGCTATTTGATTATGTTCCTTCTCAACTTGATTGTTAAGTCTGCATTGCTGGACTTAACTCAGTCTTTTGAAGACATGCTTTATTTTGCTGTGCTTTGCGTTGCTAGATAAGTGATTCTTAACCCTCCTTTTATTTTCTGGAACACTTAACTTTGAGGAAAAAAATCTCTTATTCTCTACCTTGAACAGCTAGCCTTCTCTCTGCAGGTTGCAGGAAAGGTTAGATATGCCATGGATTTCATTTCTAGCCTTGTATGTGCTGTCAGAATGGACTACCATGGTGGTTGTGACACTTCATTTCCTAATCTTCCTGCTTTTAAAAGGAAGTTTTACCTGCTGTAGATCAGCATAAAGCAAGTTTGCTCAAAACTTAAACCAGAGCTTGGCCTGCACAGAAAAACTATTTGTGGTGTGTTTTTTTTTTAGTTTTGAAAAATGCAAAAAGTCTGTGAATTATAAGGATGTATTGCAGTAATGCGGACAAGCATGGCATTCATAGTGCGCTCCTAGAGGCTCAACAAAGCATGATATTAAATTCCTTCCCTTCAATAGGTTTTATGGAAAGAACTCTTCCTATGTCCATGGTGGCTTGGATTCCAATGGAAAACCAGCTGATGCTGTTTATGGGCAATCTGTAAGTACTTGAAAACTTCTTTTCTCTTCCTTGTGGTTAAGAGTCAAATACCCACATGTGATTTGTTGCCTTTGTGTAAATGCCTCCTGTAAGAAAATCAGGAAAACAACTACCTGATTGTAAAGAG